CCAGAAAAAGAAATGGATAACTTATCAACAGGAATAAGCTGTTTATTTTATATCCTTAAGTGCATCTTAAAATTTTAAAGCCTGTTCAAATTTTTTTCAATAACATTTATACATAAATATAATCAATAAATAATACTTAACCTGAAGAATTCTTGCTTCTAAGATTCATAGACTTTCTCCTTTCTTTTTCCCCAATAATACACTATATCATTACCATAGGACATAATGATATGTTTGAAAATTATTCTAAATTGCAATATTACACACTAAATAGGATTGCTATTCAATACAGTCACATTCTCAATATAAAGATACTTAGCATATTGTCTCTAGGAGTTCTAGGCCCAATCCATTTGCAGTCTCATTACCAAGGTCTGGGCTATTTTTTGACCTGACCTAGGGTCTAGTATTCAATTCCATGTCATTTCTTTTCCGATATCTGTTAATGCTTTTATGTCCTAGTAAACTTCCTGGAGAAAAATTGCAGCTTAATAAATTTTAGTTACTACTCATGTTCTATTCTCAGGTCCAAAGACTCTTTCCTTTTCAGAATCCTTTCTCACTTTACTTTCTAAGGTGTTTCTCTTTTCTTAATTGTATGACATAATTAGTTGCTCGGGATCACACTAAACCCAACCAGACTTGCCAATTCTAAATCTGCCTTTTTTCAATTCTTAACATTCTGCAGACTTTTATAAAGTTTGCAGTTTCTCAATTTGTCAGACTTTCTGGATTAAGGATAGTTACTTAAGACCACAAAGGGCACTTGGTACATGCAAAGCTCTTTGAATAATGAAGACTATACATATATCTGTAAAAATCAACTGTCTGCAAAACATCATTATTTCACAATTTACTTTTATGCTGCCTTAGGCAGAAGTTTGTTCCAAACATCATTTTCCAACATTAAATGTTGGGGGAAAAAAAAAAAAGCAGCACTTGACCTGAGTTGAATGGCACACAGCTGTATTCCCAGTGACATGGAAGGCTGAGGGAGAAGGATGACAAAGTGCAGCTAGCCTCAGCAATTTGGTAGGACCCTGTCACAAAATAAAAATAAAATGAGGGCTGGGGATGTGGCTCAAGCGGTAGTGCGCTCACCTGGCATGCGTGCAGCTCGGGTTCGATCCTCAGCACCACATACAAACAAAGATGTTATGTCCATCAAAAACTAAAAAAATAAATAAATATCAAAAAATTCTCTCTCTCTCTCTCTCTCTCTCTCTCTAAAAAACAATTAAAAAACATAAAATAAAATGAACTAATAATGTAGCTCAATGGTAAAGCAACTTTGGGTTTAAATTAAATATAGATTGCCAAATAAATAGCATGTTAGCATGTGGTGGCCTAAGAAAATTTGTAGATTGATGTAAAACTGCAATAGAAGCTCTCCAATAGAAAATATGAGTGAAGCATTTTGGGGATTTTTTTCTTTGGCTTTTTTTCACAATAGAGAGCTTTGTTTATTTTTAATGATTTGATGAATTGTTGCCTATGAAATAATGTATGTATGCAAAAAAAGAACATAAAAAGGTACAAAATTTTCTACCTTGATACTGCAAAAAAAAAAATACAGAATATGAAGAAACTGTTCAAAAAGTTTGCAAGAACCCATTGCTTGATGGCAGGTGACCTCTCTCTATGTCTTACCTTACTATCTTACACAATGAAAATTCTTTAAGAGCATCTAATAATTTTAACATGATACACAAAACAGCAAAGATAAAGTAAAAGTAACCAAAATTCCAATGTAATTCTCAAGTTTGAACAATGTCCAATTAGTTCACAGCACAATATATATTCCATTCACTTGCAAATTAATCTTCTGCTCAGTAAATTTTTTAATGCCTCCTTCACATCCTTGTTCCTAAGACTATAGATTAAAGGATTCATCATGGGAGTCATCACCCCATAGAACATGGATATAA